ACATTTTTTTTTTTTTTTTACGTGGAGGTAGGCCGACTCTATGTGATAAACAATTGGCAACCAAACGGTAGCTCTCCCTCTACATTCGACGGATAATGTGTAATTTGTTTTTGTAATTCATCCAAAGCGATATATTATGAAATTAAATTAATCACTCGATAAGTATTAACATTAGATTGTTTCCTCGATATGGCCATGGTGGTCATCAGTGACTGGAGTGCCTCAAATGTTTAGAATAATTAAAATAAAATAAATGTTGTCAACTAAAAATTTTGAACGTCATAGCTAGCTAGACATTATTTTCAATTGAAAGAAAAAATTATAAAGCATAATACTATAATCCTATGCTTAAAATGTATTTTCTTGTGGCCGCCTGACAGCAACCTGTAAATCTGGCGCGACAGTGAACGTGTTAATAAGTAAATGTTGTTCAAATTATATCGTGTTTGATATCGTTTTCATCAGAAAAATCTCAGCAACATGTTAAAAAAAATTCCAAATGAAAAAAAGTAAAATTAAAGAAATGATATTTTTCTATTATGATTTGTCGTAAAGGAAACCGACTGGTGTAGCGTTACACGCTTGACTGACTGCGAGCAAGATAACATGGGCGCAGCAATGACGCAGCCTAGGCATAGGACCATCTATACTGTCACTTGTAGAATCCAAACTTACTGACTCTTGTAGAGAATTTACTGTATACATTTTTCCAAACGCAAGGTGTTGAATATCAGAGGAAGCTAATCAATGGTAATACGATGAAAATCTCGTGGGAGGAATAAATTGAATCGTCAAGTTCATTAGACTTTACAGTGGCTGCAGTTGAAGTGTTAAAAGCAAAACAGATAAAGTTTGTTATCGGCGTTTCCATTAATCACGACGCGTCGAAATGAACGAATTTCACGCGAAAACGTGTAAAAATAAAATAAAAGAAATAATAATACTGGTGAAATTATACAACCGCGAGATAACTCGTATTTCCAACCTACGGTATCCTTCTGTCGAGAGGGACGTTTCGATGTTTTAAGTATTAACATGGGACCGGTAGGGTTTCCCGGGGAAATTTACGTTGATATATCGGAGGAGAGGGATCGTGAAGTTTCGTAGGCCAAATGAATGGAGAAATAAGAGACTCGCTGACCGTTGTGTAGATTCCGATCTGTTTAGTATCGGTTCAGATGAAATCGAGAATGTTTGATCAGAGGGATCGTAATCTTTTCCAATAAATCTGTGAAAATTGTGTACGATTGTAACAATATTAAAATATATTGAACGTTGAGATTTATGCTCGATTTTGTTTATACCGTAAAAATGTTAATGATTGATTTAACGTAATGTTCAACATAATTGATTTAATATAATTTTACAAAATTTCACTCGTAAGTTTGAGTAACGATTTCTTATTCTGAGAAATGTGATATTTCTTATTATTAATTTACACTTGACGTATTGAACGTTTTATAGTGTGAAATTGATAATGATTGATTTACACTGTGAATATAATTTTACAAAATTTCACTCATAAATTGAAATAGTGATTTCTTATTCTGAGAAATGTGATATTTTTTTATGCAATAGAGTAACATAACACTTCTTATCTCTGAAATGGCTTGCAAATGATTCGAATGGTAAGTAAAACAAATACCCCTAATTCGAAATGTAGCATTTAATCGAAGCATATGAAACTATTATACAATTGCTAAAAATAGGAAAAACATAGTGACTCAAGCGGATGTAGAGTATCGAACAATAAAGATTACTCAAAATACAAGATAAGAACGTACGTATAATGAAATATAAATAAATCAAATAATAACATTTGCTTCAATTTCCAGTGCGTTAAGACAGTGTATCAAGTCCATTCTGAAACTTGCTCGCAGCAATCATAATCTCGAATGAAATGAAAACTGATGCGTGGAAGCAGGAGCAGTTCCACCAGCGATATTACTCGAGCTTTTACACTTAAACGAGAATAAACGCGTCGTTCTTTTCGTCGTCCGCTGTGTCAAAACTGCACGAGAGACGTGATTATCCCTTTTCAAACTCACGAAGAAGGGAAAAAGGTAGAGACGGAGGGGAAGTCAAATAGAATCTTCGGTGTATTAATTAAAATAAAATTACGCGAAAAGCTCGCTTCCAACGAAATTTTCTTAACCGGAGGAGGAATAAATACATTTTTCCTCACGTTTCTCGATGCATCCAAATTACATCGAGACGTGAACGTTCTTTTCTTAAACAGAAAAGTAAAAAAGAACTAGATAAATCTGAAAAAACGAAAAGAGAGTATATATAAAGTTGAACGAAGAGTTTGGTGAATTAATTAGAGTCGAATTATGCAAAACAGGATCTGGCTTTCATCTATTTTTTAGTCGAAGATTAACGAGGCTCTTTCGACGATTCTCTTCGACTGGTGCAATGCAATTACGTTGAAACAGTGAGACCCGTTGGAAAATTGTCTGACACCCCCGGCCACTGGTACTTTGTTCGGTGTTCGTGTTACCAACGTTTCGGTTTCCTTCGTAAAAATCCCACGGTGTGACGTACACGAAAGCAGCGTTAAAGAAAATGTCGTTACGCCGGGAAAAGGGACGGACCGAAGGGAATTCTACCACGTTCGCTTAAAAGTCGCCACTACCCTTTGCACTCTCAAATTGTCCTTTGACGTTGGCTGACCAATCCGACTGCGTTTCGGTAATTAGGCGTTATAGTTGTAGAAACTTTCTGTCAGATTTCTTCTTTATTTTCTATTGTAGTTGAAATTGCATACTTTTGTGTGAGAAAATTGATGGAGTTAAGAGGAAGGAAAGATTACTATTACTACAAAAGGCTCCTTGTTCTGTAGTAATGAACATTCTTTTACCTATTGAGTATTAAATCATGTTCAATTATTCTCAAATTTGGCCTAAGTGATGGAAATGGAATCAAGTAAAAATTGCTACCATTGAGTGTCAAGTCATGTTCAATTATTCTCAAATTTGGCCAAAGTGATGGAAATGGAATTAAGTAAAAATTGCTACTACTGAGTATTAGGTCATGTTCAATTATTCTGCACCAAAGTGACGAAAACAGAATTAAGTAAAAATTGCTGTTATTGAATGTTAAGTCTTTCAAATATCTAAAAAAATTGTATCAAAGTGATGGTAATGAAACGAAATAAAAATTGCCGCCAAATTAATGGAAATAAAATTAAGCAAAATTGCTACTACATGACACTTGTTGCATACTAATGAGAAGTGGTTCAAAGGTAGTCAAAACAGATGCACATTCTAAAGATAAAGATTGGTCATTCGTGTACATAATGTATCTCCAAGTAAATGTTTGAATGATTCCGGTCGACCATTGGAAAAATCAATCTTATCAGAGCACAAGTTAGCACTCGTACAAGCACGATTAACGTAGATCAGAATTGTCGTTTATCTTTCCGTTTGGAAACGAGTCATTCATTAAGTTCTACGAAGCATAAGTTCGTAGCTCTGTTAAATATGATTATAATCGGCTACTTTCTAAAGGATACCTTAAAGGATCTAACCGGCTCTTTCATAATAGCATAAAGGGAAAGGTAACTCAATAAAAAACCATAAACTTCCTTCCCAAGAGACCTGCGTAACAGTCTTGAAAGTAGCCAATTAATTTCCAAGAGAGTCCGACTTAACAATGACTCGTGGCTACTTAAATAATAAATCATACTCCTGAGCAACAAAACAAACGACCGCTGCCATAAATTGACCACAGCATCCCGAGTAATATCTGCTTCCAGACTACCCAACTAATCCCTGAAGGTTTACATTTCCCAAGCATGAATCCAACCACTCAGACGTTTAAATAGAACAGTATACTCGTCGTCGTTTTAACAAAATACTCTTCGTTTTTCTTGTGAAATTCTACTCCTGATTTTCACCAAATTGAATTTTCGTAATCACGTGAAAATAATCAATCAATTAATTAATTAACGAGTGTGTAAGTGTGTAGCAGTATAAAATAAATGTAGCAGTGTGCAAATACTTCTCGATAAAAATGAAACTCAAGAAAACATTCAATCTTCCGTCATTTTTGTAATTTTCAATTATCAGTGTCTATCCTTGTTGTGCTCTAATTAATGGCTACCTCCATTACTAACTGTCTTAACTGCCTGCACTCTTCAATGACCTGCATTCTACTCTCGTGTCCAATTGACAGCCATCGATGTAACAAATGTAACTTTTATACTCTACTTTTATTTCAACGTGATACGAATTTTTCACACTTAATTCAAAACAGGCAACTACACTTTGCTCATAAAATTCTATCACTTGAACACATGCACATCCACAAAAATGTCCATAATTTTCAGTAAAACCAGAAACCAACAAAATCACTTAAACTTCCATTTTTATCACTATTATTCCCTCTTTCCTGTAAATATTTATTTTTCCCATAATCTAATCAACGACTCCTTCGAGCACTGATTACCTTCGTTCTTCCCATTCAGCCAACGTAGCAAATGTAAATCTTCCAACGCTGACGACCGAGCGAAGGAAGAAACAATTAACCGTACCTATCACGATCCAGTCATAAAATTCCATCCCACGGAACACCTGTTACCCCCAAAACGAGCGTAATCATTCATCGTTAGCTCTGCTCTTCGTAGTAGCAACGAAATGACGAATTAGCCTAGGCGGTGACGAATACACCAATGAATAACGAGTGTGAAACGAAACGAGCAATCGAGCACAAAGGGGGTTCCACCGATTGACGTTGCACGTTTGTCAGGTGAACGTGTCGAAGGAACGACGGACCCAATCCTGGACGTTGATTCTCGGCGTCGTCGACTCGGTTGTTTCCTTGTGCGGCCCGCCTCGAGATCTCGTTATCTCAGTGTCAGCGTGATGAATAGAGTATACACGAACCGTGTATGCCAATGTCCAGTAGCCATGGGGACAAGTGATGACGAGTGAAAGAGGGGGGCCGCAACAGCATAAAAGCACGGACGAAGAAAAGCATCGGTGCTTTTGTGGTGTTCAACTCGTGGCCGCATCGTGTCCTGACTGGTATTGTGCGACAGTGTTAGAACCCGGAGACTTCTATCTACGGGGACGTCATGGGGCATCCACCTCGACTCACGGGGACGACCCTCGCCTGCCTTTTGCTCCTGTTCGCGGTTGCTGAATCGGCCAGTAAGTACACCTTTCTTCTCCTACAGTATGCAACAAAAGTTTCTGGACTCTGATTGCACGAAACCTGTGATTCCACGTACCGACACTTGAGAAACAAGAGAAAAAAATGGGATTGGGGTGTTTTGTGACCCCCGCAGCGAAATAATTACAAATGTCAATTTTTCTGAAGTTTTTTCAACGTTTCAATTTTGGAGCCCTGAAAGTATTTCGACAAATTTTTGTGGAACTTGCGTCGAATCCGAGAGAGCACAGTGTGACATTTGACGGTTGAAAAAAATCAGAGGTGCCACAGCAGGGTTAATTTTAAACATTTTAGACATTCTTTCCATTTCACTGTCTCCTCTTTCGACGCGATGAATTATTAAACTCAGAGTCAGGGAACTTTTGTTACACACTGTATATCACCGACCCGGCTATTTCTCCGGCTAAAAGCTGTCCCTTCGTCAGTTTGCCTTTCGACGAGACTCTTAGGTGTTCTTTTTTTTTTTTTTTCTTTAAGTCTTCGAGATTATGCAAGAGGGAAAATTAGCGACGAGTTTCAGTCTCGACTGTAGGTTTTGTACATTAGCGAGGGTGATCGTGAGGGATAATTGAAGTTGTTTCAAGGGAAATAATCGAAATTGAAGATTTAGAAGAAACACAGCGACATTTCTCGAGTGTGATCTCGTGTTAGTTCTGATAAATAGAAAATTGATAAAATTCTGTCTACGAAAAGAATTATTTAAACGAGACTGTCCTTTGTGACACGCAAAGTATAATAATTCAGTAACTTTCCATTTTAAATTGGAACGTAACGACAGCCGAGTGACATAATTCTGTTAGAGGAAAGTACGAGATTTTTATGGAACACAGTGTTTTCTTTCGTCTCAAATATGGCGTTTTTTGCGAAAGGAAGGATTAGGAGATAAATGGCACGCTCGTGTTAGCAGAAATTTGTGGGGCTTGAGGGAGAGACTCGAGAGAGGAAAAAAAACGGCGGCCTTCTTTTTTTTTTTCATAAAAGAGTCCCTTTTTTTCCTAATTCGCGAGCCGAAAAAAATGACATATATCCTTTTCTTCTAACTTGTTTAGAAAAATTAGACATTTTCCCTCGGTTCTAATAAATTTTCGTTCCGTAATAACTCGTCAAAAAGTAAATTCTCCTGTTTGTTTTTTTTTTTTTTGTTTTTCTGAACTTCGTAATACCTTGCAGTTACGAGGAGAAATAAACCGACACTTTCCTGCTGGGGAAAAATGATCTCTAAAAAAGAAAGAGAAGATGTACGCGAATCGAGTATTTTTATTCACCTCTGTAAAAAAGTATTCTGGATTTCACGAGTATTGAACTTTTAGTGTGATGTAATATTAATAATTTATGGATCCGGGACAAGTTTCGTGAAATCGGAAGATATCGAACAGTTAAATATTCCACGAATTTCAGCCGGTTTTATTTTTTGAAAAGCGATAAAACATACACCTAAAAGTAAACAGATAAACTTGAATATTGCGTTGATATCGTAGTGTTGAATAAGATTTGTTTGTTACTTTAACCGAAAACGAAATAATTGAAGAAAATAATATACGAAAAAATCGTTGGTTAAAAGAAAACAAGAAAAAGAGTAATTTATCAGAAATGTACGTCTTTCACTTCGAACGTTATCTCTCAGATAAGAAACCAATGACAACTAAATTTTTCTATCGTCCAATAATCTAACTTGCGAAATAATTCGTGAAAAGTCTCGTAACCGTTATCTACTACTTCGAAGATTAGAAATATCTACCGAAATCTCTTCGTCTTTCTGTTGACATACGTAATCAGCGAACAGAATTCATAGAATTTTAAAGGACTTCGAGGCTCTTCCAAATTTTCTCGGAAATTTATTAAAAATTTATATAAAAATTTCACTTAGAATTGCGTATCTTCTCTCTGTTTCGATGCGATGCAAACGAAGTGGGAGAAAATATGTGTCAATCTCTAAACCACTCTTCCATAAAATCGTGTTTTTCCTCTTTGTTTATCTGTTTCTCATAGACTACTCGGTCTCCATAATTTTTAAAGAATCTTATCAGAAATGAAACGACTACAACTTGACCGTTCGATTTAAAAGAAAACGTAAACAATAATTTTGATTTTTTAGTCACTTTCCACTGATAATTGAACTTCAGACTCTCCAGTTTGTAATCAAAAACGAGTGAAAATTATAATCACTTATTTAACATAATATATTTCATGTTCCAATACAAGTATAATTAAAAATTAGCAATTCTTTATTAAGTAAACTATAGTATTCTATTATGTTGTGTAAAACTCTAAAATATTCTTGCTTGTTTTGACTGAAATCGATAAACGTATCTCATTAGGGACTGTCTAAAGATACTTTGCGTTCAGTATTAGGCAGCTCTCTTTCAGTATTGTTCGGGTCATAAGCGTTTAACACGTTAAGCGCCATGTCAGTCGCCGGTGACTGACAGTATACTTTTCGTTGGTCGTCTCCTGTTTATAGTTCGCATGGCCCACTTGACGGCCGAGTGTGGCGTGAACGGAATGGCAAGCAAAACAGGCTGGGCGTTTAACGTGTTAAAAATGAGAGAACAGAGTATTCATTTTCGCCACCTAATCCACCATCCGAGTACCATCCGAGAGTGAATTAAAAGATTCAATAGTGGAGATTTCAATATGGAAAACAGAGAAACGAAGTGGCAGGCCAAAAGAGATCGACGATGATGAAATTGCAAATTGCACTGAACAAAATCCAAGGTACACAGCTAGAGAGGTTGCAAACATATTAAATATGTCGCAAGAATTAGTTTCCTTGCATCTGAAAAAGCTTGTTCGGGTCGCGCATGAGCTAATGGAAAAGCTAAAGCGGTACAAAGATCGCCCTTTTTTAAAATAACTAATCACTGGTGATGAAAAATGGATTGTTTTTGATAATATAAAACGAAGTAAACATTGCTCTAAGCCAGGATACAAACCACTAACAACGTCCAAGGCAAAATGCATGTATCTGAATTTTTTCATGAAAAAGCACAACAATTTTACGAAAAAGAAATATTTAAGTTACCAAACAGATGGGTAAAGGTCATACAACGAAATGGTACACATCTCATTGATTAGGTATGATATTAAAATGACAAAACTTTATATGCCTGCGAAGAAACGCGAACGGAGTTTTTACACAACCTAATAAATATTAGCGAACAAATAACTTCCCCAGTTAACAGGGTTAAATCAATTCTAATTTCTTCACCAACCAAAATTTTCCGCGTCTTCAGCTAAACACCTGTTTCAACCGAAATTTCCCGATGAACACACCGTCGGCCCCACAGCGATCCATCAATTTTTCACGTCGTCGAGCCAACATTTCGTACACTCGAACTTGAAACTGCGGTCCGTCGCGAAACTTGGTCGAAGAGAGGCGACGAAAAATATTTTTAACAGGCTGATAAATTCAATTTACACGGGAAAACCATTGGACCGGGCACAATGGGAGCGAAAAGCACCCCCCACGCAGCAACAAATTCCCCGCGAAGTTTGTTCAGCGTGTCCCGTACGCCTCTAAAATGCATGGAACTACCCCTTTGCAGTCTCCCAGGAATTCTGCCCGGACCATGTAAATAAGTTCCACCCTCGCAGATCCGTATCTCCGGTAAAAGTTTTCGTGGAAACGCGTTATCGAGGCCAGAAGGTGGAAGAGTCGAGTTCGAGCCTTCTTCTTCTTCTTTTCTTTTTTTTTTTACGACGAACGAATCTGATCTGGATTATACCGCGTGGCGTGAAATACAGTTTGATTTAGTAACTAGATTAAACTACCTGGGCTTCTTGCGCGTGGAACGTCAACAGTTGTGGAAATGTGAAAAATCAGACGATAATGTGAAATTACACTAGTTTTAGGGATCATTTTGTATTGGCATACGTGAAAATTTCCAGAGAAATGTTAGCAATTTTAAGAATTTTTTGAGAAACTTTTTGTCACTCGAATCGATCTGAAATTTCTTCGATATCAATTTCAAGTCTACGAAGAATTAACCCTTTGCAATCGAGTGGCGACTGAGATGCAACGTTAAATAATTCTCACGTGGTAAATAATTGATCAAGACCGAGAGCAGATCTATGGGCCTCCATAAATTTCTTCACCATAGTGAAACAGAGAATACATTGAATATTGAAATAAAATGGCACAGTTTATTTCTACGTTAGTTTTCAAAAATTTCAAAGACCTGACTTTGGAATCTTTCCTACAGCAAAATGACCGAGTGCAAAGGATTAATACTGATGCAAATTGGCGGGTGGTACCAAACTTTTGGTAGTATAATTCATAGTAACTCCTATATAATTTGAAATTACACATTTTACAAATTTATTCAGCGCACTCATTTTTTCTGCTATGCTGAGTATAGTCGGTGAAAGAAATATTAAGTGGCAGTTCACGTTTCTCTATTGGGACTGAATCGAAACTAAGTTTAACTTTCTCAGGTTTCTGTCGATTTCCTCGAATGTGTAAACTTTGACACATGACCTCGCTATATTTCTTCCACAGACTATACCAATTTATTATTCCAACGCTTCCCGATATACGATATTTTAAGCGTCAAGGGGATGAAAACAGAGGGGCATGGTGAAGTGTTTCACGGTAGCTTATACTTTCTACAAGGTCCTATGCAAAATTTGGTCCAGATCGGTCAAAGTATTCAGAAATTAATAATGAACATACGGTCAGACGGACCTTCTATTTTATCTGTATACAGGGTGTTTCAATAGCTTGCTACCAAATAGATATGATAAATAATTTTCAGACGTTTCATTTCGCATAATCATTGAGTAATAAATGACTGCAAAGCGGATGATTGCAAAGCTTTAGGTCCTAACTAAAATAAATAATACCTCTTTGTCCAATAATACAAGCTTCCATCCATCCGAACGTTCTCAAATAACACGAGACAATTCTTTAATTGCTCCTAACTCTAAAAAATTATTTTACATTAGAAACACCCTGTACACAAAATATTCTACAAGTTAG